CTGGCATAAGCCATTTAGAGAAACTCAAGTATGGCTGGATGGTAAGGGGTGCATTTCACCTGGAGCAACACTCCTCATGCTCATTTTCTTTTTAAATGAGTAAGAAAGGGTTTGGCCAGTGACTGTGGAGAGAAGGGATAAGGGGTTATGTAAGAGAGGGTTGTTAGAAAGGGTATAGTTAAGATATAAGAAAGATGGGTGGGTCACTCCAGGAAATAAAACTTTTTTTCAAGTTTTGTGTCAAAGGTTTAAACCCCTGCCAGGTTTTTATTGCCATGGTACCACCCTAGGCTGGGAACCCACCCTCTGTAGAAGGCATAAGTGGTATCTGTGCAGGATGGATTGACATGGATATAGGTTTTTATTGCTCTCTGTCTTCCAGCAGGGTAAATTAACCCTTTCTGTTTGTCCTGCTGACTATTGTTATGGTGATAGAAGATGATGATGAAAATACATCATTTTACAGATGCCAGTAGCATTTCTAAGGTGCATGACTCTCTAAACTCACTTTGAAAAGTTTTTGTGTCACTTCTTGTTGTGTCATAGTGACAGGAAGTGAGAGCCCATTCATATAAACCATATGCTGAGGACACTCATTCTCTTTCAGCCTATTCTGTGAGGCGCTAACTACTAACGCTTTATAGTCACCTTGAAATTTCCTCTGCTATTTTCCAATTAACAGCTTAATAGCCCTGGAAACCGAGTTCATGTGGTGAAGTTTACCATGGCCCCTTTCTATGAAAAGCTTTCTGCTGGGATCCCATTATGTGCTTGAATAAACCCTTTCTCAACACGCTAAGAGGACTGGAGGTTGTCAGGTGTTGGGTTACAATAGACTTTCAGGCAAGAGACATTGTGCCAACATAAATACAAACTTGGCCCTATAGGGGTATGTTGTCAAATAGTAGGATATGTAAAACATTCCCATCAAATTAAGTATGAGAAAAGGATTAAGGCCCTCTATCAATGGAGTATTTACATGTGCACTATAGTGTGCACTGAGGTGAAACAGGGGGCCTCTCCACTCACACAAATACCAATGAAAAGAAAGATGATGGAAGCCAGGCACTGAGGAGATATATGTTTGTGTGTGGATGCTGGATGACAGGACCCAGCAAATAATAAAAAGGGTCATTGAATGACTTTATGGTCGCTGATTCGTCCCAATGTTTCATAATGCCATTAATATAATTCACTTGCTGCTGTCCAAGGTACACAAATGGGGCCAAACCTGAATTCTGAGCTTTTATTCTGAGATGTATCTAATATCATATACAATGTTACTACAGTGTATACAGTATAAAGATGATAGATAGATAGATAGATAGATAGATAGATAGATAGATAGATAGCTAGTGGCGCAATTTAAATCCTGTATAATAATAATAATATAGATAGATAGATAGATAGATAGATAGATAGATAGATAGATGACTGAATGTGTTCTTTTTAAATGTATAACATGGGTAGGTGTCCTGGGTAGTTGGATACATACATACATACATTGGTTCATTAAACCTAGATATTGGTATGGTATATTCAGCGCCCTCTATTCGCTGACGTCCAATCCTAGACAGCCCTTGGAGAATAACAGTGTGAATTTACTGGGTGCCTTTTGTTGGGAACAAAACGTGAAACTTGATTCTAAATCTGCAGCTCTAGGATGTGAAATACTCTTGTATAAGAGCAGGCAGAATAGCATGTTTAAATCACACAAGGGAACACAAGAGAGGACAATTCAATACTTTTTTCCCCTATGTGGCACAGAAAAAGAAAAGCTTTAGATATTTAAGAGCCCTGTAAAAAAGTGACAAGGACATTTGTTAGCTGGATGTACAGGGCTGTGCATTGGGCTCTAGATAAATGTTCTGGTGCTGAAGGCAGAGCAATAAGTAATGTTCATTCGGAATTACACTGCTACACAGGCTTTGCTATAGGGACACCAGCAGTTCTCTGTTGTCCAGGTAGGATTTGATAAAACTCACTGGAAGGTGATGTGGATTAATGCTCATTGGCCAGTCCCCAGTATCCCACACAAGGACATCTGCTCTTTAATGAACTTGCCATCCATTTCTATAATAAAGCTCATTCAGTGCCGCGAAGTAAAAGCTGGGAGTCTGTAGCAAAATCTAACTGCATGTGCTGCACTTCATCTTCATGACAATCTATTAAAACCAGTTTACCTTTTACACAAGTAACTTAATAAAAAAAGCTTCTTTACAGCTTCGTATTATTGTGCAATTCTTCAGTTTCATAGTTTCCTCCCTAAGTCTTGGAATAAATATTTATCAAATATATTTGTGTAAAAGCGAGGCAGCAGTATTTTGTGGGGACTTTACAGTCGGTGATTACAAGCTCGCCTCGGTGTTCTTTCTCTTCTTCATTTATTGGGAGAATAATCCGGGTGACATTTATATTCTGTAATAAATGAGAGGGGAGCCACATACAATGCCATCCTTAGCACCAAAGTATCTGCTCCAGCGTTTGGACGGTGTGTTTACAACTGGGGATCAGTGGGGTGATATTTCTCATTAATGCCCACAACATTTTATGATGGCATCATCTGGAAATGTACACGATCTAGCTCTGAAGAGCCCCCGGTTTGATTGCATGTTTTTACTTTATAAATAATAATTACAGACGATCTATGAATACATCTCTCTGCACAGGTACACAATTATTTCACTCAACCCAGGACCACAAAGGATACACATCACTGTTTTTTGTTTAGTTGTTTCCTTTATAAACGAATAATCACCTTAACCCTTGTATTGTCATATCTCTCCTCCATAGGGATTTATTTATGTATAAGAAGACGAAAGAAATGAATAAAGTGGGGGTGTTGTCCGTTGCAGCCAATCAGAATCTATCTTTCAATATTCTAGTGCAGGTTGGATGATACGTGTGAGAATCTGACTGCTTACTATATGCAATGGAGTCATACCTTGCAGCTTATTAGCTTGTATTCAGTGCAAAGGGGGCGATTTATTAACTAAAGTGGTCGCTTTAGATACCGAATCAGGCTCAGGCAAATTAAACATATATGAACTTCCTCAACACCTGATTGAATATTTAAAATGAACACAATCTAAAGCAAAAAATACGTTTATAATAAACCGTTTTTCAGTATTAATATAACACCACCTATTCACCAATTTACACAATATCACCCAATAGGAAAGTGTACTTGCAGGATATCATACAGAATTATTATTTTTTTAAAGTTCACAGATGACTTGTATAATCTGAGTCCACTCCTCCAGCATGTCCCTTATAAATAATAGTCGGACCCTTGATGACTAAATTCTACCCTCAAGCTGGCTTTACACTATACAATCTGATTGTATACTTATCATTAACTGAAATGAAGTACAAGGGTTTGCCTGACTGGATACAATTGAAATGGATTGTTAAATTGTATCTTTATATGACATCGTTTTGTTAAATCTAAAGGAGGCTGTAGAGAGAATGTGCAATTGGATTCTATAGTGAATAGCCAGCTTGGCTACCCGGCAAAATTGGCAGCCCAAGGGGCCGATTTGTGTGACAGTATATGTGCACTGGTGTTTCTCTCTGATTAACCCAGTAAATTGTTTTACTTCATTCTTCACTCATTTCCATTATTGTGTAAATGATATAAAATGATCACCCTTATTTACTAAAGGGTGTTTAGTTCTTAAGTATGGTAAGCCAAAGCAACCAATCATAATTAATCTCCTACTGATCTGATTTCAGCTCAGTGAAGTTTGTTTAGTTGCTACACTAAGAACGTTTCATGTGCATTTTAAGTCTATGTATCTAATGGCTCATTTTTTGGCATAGCTTGAGGGTTTTAAACCTTTTTTGTTTTTTTGCCATCTGTGTCCTATTGGGAGATCTCCCTTCATTTCCTGACTTCCTGTCCTATTGCTACAACTGGAAGTGAGAGGAAATTCCTCTAAAGTGAGGGGATGTCTGTTGTCACAGGGTCTCCAGAACGAGTTTACTCATTGGAAGATTTCCCTAATATTCCTATTCTGGTGACAATTGGAAATGTTTGTCACTCTTGTTGATATCATTGGTTGATATCAAATAGGCTGCATTTCCCTTATGGGGACACAGACAGCAATACAAACTAATCTGGGCTGCAGTTCTAAATTAAGCTATTCAATTGTTGCCTTGGGAAGGTTTTAAATAATAAAGAGTTAAATGTGGCATATACATATATACAAGGGAGAGAGAGAGAGAGAGTAAAAATAATTTTAGGGCATTTTATCAAAATTGGAGCAGACAGAATCTGGAGCAGATGCCCATTTTCAAAGCTTAACTAAACTAACTGACGAGAGAAGCTGATTGGTTGTTACTTTGGACAACTGCTTTAGATTCAGTCTCCTCCAGTTGTCATACATTCCCCTCTGTATCTCTGTATTGTAAAATGCAGTGCTATACAGTCTAAGGCAGCAATCAGAAATGATTCCTTGCAGGTAGGCAGGCATGGCTCAGGTCTAGTTCATATTGGGGCAATAAGGGGGAATTAAAGCTTGCTTGCATGTGTATGGTATGGTCTGCTGTGGGGTGGAATATAAAGGAAGGGCTATGGATGAGAAGTTGTAAGTCTGTGCTGGGGAGGCGGGGATGGGTTAAAGGAAGGGAGGGAGCTGCTACCTAAATCCTCTCAGCTACTCCCCACATGGACAGAGCATGGGAAGCGCATCGCCCAGCAGCACTGTACCCAGCCCTGCCTCCCAGTGACACATTTCATGGGGCTACCTGTCTCCACCCAGTGAGGACATCATCTGCAAGACATATCCCTATCGCAGTGCTTTGTAATCCATGCCAAGGATTGGTGATTTTAAAGGTGTGCTCTGCTCAGGCCAGGGGGAAACAGACCAGACTACACAAAAACTTAGTTTTTCTCCTATAGTAGGAATGCAGACAAGAAGGACTGTTCAGTAGCCCCCCTTCCCATTTATGAAGACAAGCGTACTGGTGTAGGCTCAGGACTCAGAGCTTTGAAAGCCATGAACGGTTACGGCTCTCCCTACCTGTACATGGGAGGACCGGTGTCCCAGCCTCGTGCCCCTTTACAGAGGACCCCCAAATGTGCGCGCTGCAGGAACCACGGGGTGCTCTCCTGGCTGAAAGGGCACAAGCGCTACTGCCGCTTCAAGGACTGCACCTGCGAGAAATGCATCCTGATCATTGAGAGGCAGAGGGTCATGGCAGCTCAGGTGGCACTCAGGAGGCAGCAAGCCAACGAGAGTCTGGAGAGCCTCATACCAGATACCCTTAGATCCATGCCAGGCCTGCCAACCTCACTGCCAGCCGACACAAGTCAGCCAACCTCCAGACCAAGCGAGATGGCCATCCGGTGGGCACAGGAGCCTTCCTCTACTATGCAAGTGCCAGTGAAAACAGGTGGGTACAGGGGCACGTAAAGTGGCTGCATGGGGGCACAGGGTGACACTAGGCAAACTATCACCATTGACCATTCATTCTTTCATGCATTCGTTCGTTTATTCGTTCGTTATTTCATAATTTATTTACTTATTCATGCATTCGCCTTTTTTTTTTAATATATATGATTCAGCCTGGGAAAAGAAGAGCAATCAATGTATTGCCTGCAGTGATTAGTTCACAGTTACTAATATTTTATTGTCTGATGTATTATATAATACTTCTTCTACTACTACCACTACTACTACTACTACTACTACTACTACTACTACTACTACTACTACTACTACTACTATTACTAATAATACTTATTCTTTTACGAATAACAAAACACACCTTCCTATAGACCTGACCACATCTAAGAAAAGGCAATCATGTCATATATGGGACATTAGTCTCCATCGTGCTTCTTCTAACTAGAAAACTAATGCCTAAAACTTTTTAAGATCTTACAATCATACAATACAGCATACTGAGAAGACCAACAAGATAGAGAATACAATATTTTAGCTCTGTGGGCCATAGAAATCATACTCATGGCCTGATTTATGTAGAACTGGACGAATTTTGTCTGCAACAGTGTTGCACTCCAAATCCTATGTGTTGTATTTTGTTAATAATATCCATGTTACCTTCCTAGATAGATATTGGATCACTGATTCACAGACGTGTTTTCTTGGCAGAGCCATGAACTCTGTCCTATGACACATTTCAGTTGGCTGCGATCCTTCATACCTGGGGATGGTCCGTGTTTTAGGGTTACAATACATGAATTCACGATTATAACGATGCTCTGGTGTACTACTGATGTGCTTTATCACATTATGAAGGATTAAAAGTCTCTAGACCCCTTTCCAGGAGGAGACAAGAAGTGAAGCGTGTCAGATTGCTCAAAAAGCAAATCAAGTGTTGCCTCGGCTTGTGCCAAAACATGTCATGAGGAGTGGGGGGATCAAGTTACTGGAGCACTCAGTGCAATCCTCTGTGCTTCCTCATATGTACTTACCATGATATCACACCAGCCCCATGATGACAACCACCCTCCCGACTAGCACACAGCAACAGACTGGCTTCAATTATCGGTTGCACAGGAGAGATACCTAGGTGATACAACTGTACAATGAGCAGTTGTATATGCCTGAATTGTAAAGACCAACGGCCCATCTTTATCTGTCGGTTCACTCCATGTACCAACCATATAATATTGAGTATAAAGCACGATGTGTTCGCTGTTGTGGGCAAGTATCATAGTATGTTTATATATTAATGGTATATGTAGGTCACAGATCGAGGGTACTGGCATTAGTCATGATATAATGTTAATAGTCGATTCCCGGAAAGCCAATTTTTAAAAAATCTTTTATATTTTTATGAAGTATCATGGTATACCTAGATGGGGATGTTACCTATTATTATTACTAAGATACCTGTCCTGATAGCACAACATGAGAAGTGATTCATTGTCACATTGTTCTCATATGGATACACCACCACTGAAGTATCCAGATCAATGTGCTCCACATTGTAGACTGTGTTAAAAGAAGGAAGGGGAAAAAGAAAGAAAGAAAGAAAGAAAGAGAGATAGAGAGAGAGAGAGAAAAAAAAGAAAGAATGAAAAAGAAAGAAAGAGAGAAAAAGAAGAAAGAAAGAAAGAAAGAAAGAAAGAAAGAGAAAAAAAAACGAATGAAAAAAAGAGAGAAAAAGAAAGAAAGAGAGAAAAAGAAGAAAGAAAGAAAGAAAGAAAGAGAAAAAAAACGAATGAAAAAAAGAGAGAAAAAGAAAGAAAGAGAAAGAAAAAAAAGCTAAGAAAAGAAAGAAAGAAAGAAAGAAAGAAAGAAAGAAAGAAAGAAAGAAAGAAAGAAAGAGAAAGAAAGCAAAAGAAAGAAAGAATCCGGTGTAATCAACGAGTTTAAGTTGAAAATACTGATTTAGATATTTTTCTACATATCTTGGCTGGACGAATATCACGATCGATCTATCTATCTATCTATCTATCTATCTATCTATCTATCTATCTATCTATCTATCTATCTATTCCTCTCGTATCTTCTATCTAATTTATATAAACGAGATATTTATAAAAGTATAACATAGTACTTATTTATTTGTCCATTGTAAAAATTCGTTCGGGAATGGTCCTTCTAAAGCTATCATGTACAAGTGAAGCACAGGAACAAACATAATTGCAGGGACGAGTACGATTTGTATGTGGAAATATGTCTACAGGCTTATATTTGAATGTCTCTATATTTGACCAAGCATATGATTACATATGTCAGAGAGACCGACCGTCTCTTTTATAGAAGAGGTCACTTGACTTGTTAGAGCTCCAGGAGGTTAATGAGCTGATTTATTAATGTTACTTGCAAGTTCCATGGAGGACCACTGACATTGGCCTGGGGGTAAATGGCCCACAGTTAGACCTAGATCAGAGATGGTCCTTATACTGACTATTCAGGTAGTGACGGTCTAGGACACTCTATCCGGCGTGGATAATGGTTCTGCTCCATCTCCCAGGCTGACAGGGCAATGAGCGGCGTGTCCCCAGTGTCTGCACTGAAGGAATGTGACTCAGCTGATGTACAGCTGCCTTCACTCCACATATTTATTGTGCTGCTCCTGGCCAGGACCATCCGCCGATGATCTATGCATTTCATAAAAGATTACAGTAATTTCAAGGAGACAATGTAATAGCAATCAATTCAGGAGAAGGTCAGGCTCCCATGAAAAGTTACCAGCTTATTTGTAGAACACAATGGTTGAGCACTGATGGGACATCCCTCACTACTGCCAGGCACCTTATCCAATACTGCCACATGGCTGGGGATCCATCTTCCCAAATCTCATCCCAGACCGGAGAGAACAGCTACTAACGGGACATGGAGCATCAACGACTCCATGACCACATCCATACTTTACACCTGCTCAACTTTGTACAAGAAAAAGCTACACATCAGGAACACATCTTTTTTTTTTTTCTTTCTTTCTTTCTTTCTTTCTTTCTTTCTTTCTTTCTTTCTTTCTTTCTATCTTTCCTTTTCCTATTTTTTTCTTCTTTCTACATCATTTTTACACTTGTAAATGTAATTTCATTTACAAGTCTGAAGGTGTGAGACGTCTAATTTCCCTGTTAAAACGTTTTGCTAGCGAAAGCCTATACAGCTGTAAGGAAAAAAAATCCGAAGAGAAAGCTAATAATCGTAGATGATAAACAAGATGATAAACAGAGCAGAGCTGATTTTTTCTTAAATATTTTCTTTAAAGCAGCGGAAAGTAACAATGCAACCAAGTTTACTATATTCAAACGATTCTTTAAAAAAATCTAGGAGCGCGTATAATAACTGACCTATTCTAGTTTATTAAGAAAGCACGAAATAAATAGTCCTAATAATAATAATTTGGTAAATTCACGTATGATATTTTTGTAATTAAAAAAACACTATGCAGATAGTATTAAAATGGTAAAATATTACTAACAATACTGTGCACCGTAAAATCAACTATGGCTGATTCTATTTAAGAAAGCACTGCACGCATGATAATAATATACTTGGAACATTATAGATAATACTAATAATAGTAATAATAAAAAATACCACAACTACCAATTATAATTAATAATTAGTAAATTGACCTATTTCCTATTTCAGTTTTATACAAAAAAAAAAGATATAGTAATAATAATGTGGATGCAAAACAAAAACAGTACTAATAAAACAAATTAATAAATAAATACTTTTAAAATTACCTATCAAGTATCTAAATTTTGATTAAGATAACACCATACAAAAAATATTATACCATTAAAAAAATATAATAATAATAATAACAATGCATCGATAAGTCATTTGTCCTATTCTAGTTTTATTTATTTATTATTTCTTTTTATTATTTATAAAAATCTATTTAACTGTCAAATTTTGCCCTGTTATTTGGGATTCGATTCACGATTTCCAGAAAGTCGCTTTATACAGCTTGCTTCAGGGAAGATTTCGGGCAGTCCTCCATGGCAGGTATAGGGCTGAGACTGGCAGGGACCCGAGCTCTGCGCTCTATACCCCAACGTCCGCACCACACACACACACACACTGAACAATAATATATTTATGTGACCCCCAAGTACACTGTCTGCTACAGATACAAATATGTGGCGCTTGGATATGTGAAGGTAAATTGCTATGAACCATCTCTATTTCTATACGGACAGTGTGCAGTCATTGGTTCTGGAACCTGCTTAGCCTTGGTGTGATTAATGAATCATCTTGGCTGAGGAGACACACTTCAACAAATGTTTACACTGCTGCTGGCAGAATGTGCCGTATAAATATTTACCCATGGGAGACACAGTTATTGCTCATAAGACATTACAATTTATGATTAGCACGCTTCATCTTATTATCGCACAGAACAGCCTATTTCCCTTTCTGATGGCAGTTCTAGAAGATCTATGATAGATATTCTACCTTTGGCTCGGGGATGCGAGAATTATAAAATCAGACTGTATTTTGTAATGACAGATGTGCAAAATAAACTAATAAATAAATAATAATACAAAAGTGATAGATGAATTTAATAACACTATTAATCTAAAGGTATATTTGCTGCTTAATCAATGCCCAGCCTTATATTGACAACATGGAATGTTGTCGGTGGAACCTGTAAAAGCAAGAAGAACTCAACTATATTAATGATAGTTAGTGTTGATGCTGTGTTCCTTTGTGCCAGCAATGTACTAACAACCAACCCAAAAAGCTTGGTATCTGTTGTCCTGACATATAAATTATTATTATTATTATTATTCAGAATTTATATAGCACCAACAGTCTGTGCAATACCTTACAAAATAAAAGGGGCAAAGTACAGTTACAATACAATTAAAGAGAAAAGGGTTAGGAGGGTCCTGCTCCCAAGAATTTACAATTCCTCTATAACTCCCTCTATAACTGACAATAAATATATTCCAATGTAATATATCCAAAAAAACATAAACAGTGTTAGTCTACCAAACAATCACATATTAAACTGACCTTAAAAATGATCTTAAAAATGTAAAAATAGTGGTGAACTCTTGGAATGAACTATTATAATGTGAACAGATTTGCATTTAATTGGTTACAATGATGTAATTCACACTTCAGATGACCTAAGCTGTATAAGTATTGAGGACATGTAATAGTTTTCCTGTTTTAAAGTTTATTAATGCTGTCTATCTTTTGGTCTTGCAGATGCATCTGAAGAGAGGCTAGGTGACAGCAGTGGTACAGACAATGGTGAAAGCTACAGTGACAAAGACACAGATCAAAGGTCACCTCCTGACGTGAAGCCCTGCTGTACGCCAGAGAGTCCTGAGGTGGTATCAGTGGATGAAGTAGGCTATCCAGTGCGGAAGAATTGCAGCAGTGCAGAGAGTACCTCGGAAAGCCCCAAGTACCAGGCTGAACACAATCATCTTCTGATTGAGGGCTCATCTGGTACAATGTCCCTGCCCTTCAGCCTGAAGTCTAACAGACCTCCTCTTGAGGTCTTGAAAAAGATATTTCCAAGCCAGAAGCCCACTGTGCTAGAACTAATCCTAAAAGGGTGTGGGGGTGACCTTGTTGGGGCTGTGGAAGTTCTTCTGTCAAGCCGATCCTCTGTGACTGGTGAGAGAACTACAGCAGAATCTGACAGCATTGTTTTACCTTCTAATGGTCATTTATTTGAGCACACTCTTAGCTCCTACCCCTTATCATCCTCTAAGTGGTCAGTGGGGTCAGCTTTCAGAGTACCTGACACCCTACGATTTTCAGCAGATTCCAACAATGTGGTAACAAATCCCTTAGGTGTGCCCCTGCAACACCCTTTCCCACAACCCCCCAGGTATCCTCTCCTGCTGAGAAACACTTTGGCAAGAAACCAGTCTAGTCCCTTCCTGCCCAACGATGTTACCCTGTGGAACACTATGACGCTACAACAGCAGTACCAGCTTAGGTCACAGTATGTCAGTCCATTTTCTGGCAATCCCACTACACTCTTTAGGAGTTCACCTGTCCTTCCTCCTAGAGCACCCGATGACCCAAGGATCTCTGTTCCAGAGGACAGCTGTCCCATTGTAGTGAAACAACCTATTTACACAGAGGAGGACTATGAGGAGAGATCAGACTCAGCCGACTCCAGAATCCTGAACACTTCTTCCTAACCAACAGAATGACAGGACAATGCTATATATGACTGTGAACTCTATCTCTCATTCAAGAGATCTGCCTTATTTATCCCATATTCATTGCACTTATCTAAGCAATAAAAAGTGAATACCCATGAATGCATTTCCAGTTAGGGATTGTGCACATTGGCCATATCATCCCTTCAAGCACTGGTATATCAGTGTGATGAGCCTAAGACATAGAAAGTCTTGCCATTTGTGGATTTATTCCATGATCAATTTAATATGACTGGTATATTGTTGCTTTTCCGTGTATTATGTAACATGACAAATGGTGTTAAGTAAATGTCACAGTCTAAGGTGGAAAAGACAATATGTGACCTTTGCAGATATCATCCTATTTGTTCTGAAAGAACTGAGCAAATGTAATATTACAAACAGTATGTGAACTGCATGAATTGTATTGTTAAATGAGCCCAAGATTAAACATTGTCAGGTTAATGTAGCATGCTAAGGACTCTAGATGAAATAAAAATGATGATGAGCATGTCATTTATACTTGTAGTTTGTCAAATTAAATTAGCGCACACCTATGAACAGGCAGCGAGGCGTTCAATTACTTCAAAACATTCCACAGGGAAAACAGAACAGGTAGGTACAAGTTGCTCTGACTCTTTCTTATTTTATTTGTTTACTTTGTGTGTCACTTATTTATTTTGTGTATTAAGATGGTATTTTACGTACCTAGAAAGATAGAAAAATCCTTTTATTTTTCCGATACAAGATCACAATATATTGTGACCTTATCAGTGCAAATTTCTTTTAGCTGTCTTCTCCAAAAACTAAATAGGAATAAAGGATTTGTTGCCAGTTATTAAAGTGGAAATTCAAAGTGGGCTCATATTTTTCATCATATCATCACTCCTATTCGGCTATTCACTTCAGGCTTGTACGGCTGAAAAATCAGCCGTACAAGCCTGAAGTGAATAGCCGAATAGTGTTCGGCTCACTTCACTTCGGGTCAGTTGTTCACTCGGCTGCCTACGGCAGCTTTGTGAATAGACCGCTAAGTGGATGACATTTAGAGGGTTATTCAGAAAAGGGTGACGAGTTTGGAGAAGGCAGGAGACGTGAACAATCTAGGACAACATAACTAGGACAACAATGACAATTAATATGTTTGTAGCAAATAATTAAAACAAAAATTACAACTGCTCTAATCAATGTATTGCTAGCAGTTTAAAGTAGGGTGCATATGAATAAGTAGTTTCACAGTCCTTTAACTCTATGCCTGGTAACACGTTGTGATGCATAATAGTGTGTCCCAGCACGTTGCACTTTTTTGGCACACACCAATGTGTGAATTGAACCACCTGGACATAAGGCAAATTGCCTTGTCTATGCATTGGGACTGTGTTGGGCAACACTGCCCAAACATCCCAACAGTGTTGGTGAGTCCTAAAGGCGTTCAGAATCTCCATACATTGAATTGGATGAATATTCAGCTCAATTATCCAATCATGTGAAAAGTCAAGTCCCGTATACTTATTTTATCTGCACATGATCGGTTAATTAAAGTGAATATTCACACAATGTCTTGTGTGAATATGTTCAACTCATTTAGTAAATCAGTGGAAATATTTAATAGCATATTAATTAATTGGAATTTCTAAGGTATCTACGTCTTCAGACAATCAGCCTGATTTACTAAAGGAGTTACAAATCTCCACTCAAAAAGTGTTACGATTTACTTCAATTATCCAATCGTGTGCAGATTAAATAAACAGGAATTTGCTTTTTACATGATTGGGTAATTGAAATAAGTGTTCACTTTTTTAACTCCTTTAGTAAATCAGCCTTATTATTTTTTAGCTTGCAAAAGGTAAAAAGTGTCTCTTTAAAACAAGGGAACACAGCATTATCTATTCTATTTTTTTAGAAATAAAGCTTACAGTCCCATGCAAAATTAAAGCTGAACTCTAGGTATATCAAACAAATAAAATGCTAATTTTTGTGTAAGGGAGAACATAAAAAGCAGTTTTACTTACCTTATCCCTTGCTCATGGAGGCTTCCTCTAAACTGCATGACCAGTCCCCCAAAGCTACTACTCTTCACCAATCTGTCAGTCACAGAAATCCAGGCGACATTACTTACAATGCAGGACCAGCAGACCTGTATTGCAAGGAAGGATGCACAGGGCCCATCCATTATCCAGAGCTTTAGAGAGTTAGGGATGAAGTAAGTCAAATGGCTTTTTATGTTCCCCCTAGATCAGGGGTAGCCAAACTCCGGCCCCCCAGCTGTGGTGAAACTGCAAATCCCATGATGCATCTCTCTCTGGGAGTCATGTCTGTAGCTGTGAGAATCTTGCAATGCCTCATGGGATTTGTAGTTCCACCACAACTGGAGGCCCGGAGTTTGGCTACTCCTGCCCTAGATAAAGACAAGCAGCTTTAATTTTCTTAGTGAAGTATATAGCAAACATTTACTGCAGGAAGCAGTGTGTTGAAAACCACATATTTTCAAATGTCAGGGCACATTTAGCTATTGCTTTACAAACTTTAAAAATTAAAAAACAAAATTAAAAAATTAGGAACAAAGAAAATAGTAATTCTGGCAAGTGCAAAATAAAAAAAAATAAATGTAATTTGGCCTGTGGTGCCCAAAGTTGAACGTGCGCAACTGTATTAAATCAAAGCCCAGTGCTATGCTGAACCTCATGCATGAAAGGTATTAGATACATGTGAAGTTATCAGCCGATTTAGGTTAACCTGATCTCTCATATCTCACAAGAGCTGAACTAAAAAAAGTGATGAATTGTTATTGGTTTATATAGCTGGAGGAGCTGAGAATAACATTGCCACCAGGCCTGTAGCCTGACTGAAGACTGAAGCCATATTCCCCAACACTATGCTAGAGGGAACCTCTGCAACTGTTAATTGTGCTTTAGTATTACTCTGAAAAATGTATCTTTTGTCTCTAATACCTCCTGACCTGTTCTGTGGCTTTTTATCTGCAGTGCACAATCTAAGGCACTGCTGCCACTGACCACTAATCTCAGGAGACTTGGGGGTCTATTCACGAAGCTGCCGAAGGATCTGGCCATTTGCTGCTGCTGTCAATCAGCAGCAAATTGAAATAGCCTAAAGGAATCTAGCTATGCATGGGGAAATATATATATTTTTTTGACGGCAGCAGAACTGCCCGGCCAATGGAAAAGAGTTGGGCGGAACTAGCTGTCACTGCTAGCTCCGCACAATCGTTTTCTATTTTTTTAACTGTTTTTCTATTCTCCTCAGTACCACAGAGGTACCGAGCAGAATAGCCGAGCCGAATGCCGCTCAGCGGCATTCGGCTATTTACTCACTGCTGTTCGGCATCTATGAGAATAGACCGAACAGCAGCGAATAGCCTGACGGAGGTTCGGCTTAGCCGATCCAGATGTTGGATCAGCTGAATCGAACTCCTTCTGCACTTCGGGTCGTCTGAACATGCTGAACATTTTCGGCCAACCCGAAGCCACACGAAGCCACCCGATGTATGGCTGAAATCAGCCGTACAAGCCTGAAGTGAATAGCTGAACACCGTTCGGCTCACTTCACTTAGGGTCGGTTGTTCACTCGGCTGCCTACGTCAGCTTAGTGGATAGACCCCTTGGAGTGAGATTTATTGATGTTACTACCGTGTAACACTCAACACTCATCAGAGGGCAGCTGTGACAGGAGGAATCAGATCCCTGCTCCTCTCTAAGGCCTCATTCACACGAGTGGCCAGGGGCATTAAAAAAAGGCAGTTAATCCGCATTTTCTTTTTTGCTGCCAAGTCACCCACCTTAAACTTAACATAGCTGCCACTCATGTTTGTACACATGCCGCAGCCATGATGCTTTGCATCTGGCAGTCAGAGGCCCACTGATCACCATATGCAGTTTAGGGCCCATTATATGTGAGGATGCCAAGGAACAGTCCACAAGCTGGAGAGTAGGGGAAAGAGAGATAAGCACTGACTGCTTGGGGGATTGGGATTCAGGTAAGTAAAATCCATTTACATGACCTCAGACATATATGAACAGTTATGCCTTTCAGTGCAGGAGTAGCCCCATTGCAAGGGGAGTTTTTTTTAAATTTTCCCGAGGATAGGCTTTAAGTCAGTAATGGGCAAAAGGTCAGCTGCAGGGAGACCAATGGCTCTTCTGGTGAGTGACTAGTCTCCTCTGCCCGGCACAGCTTTCTTTAGGGAGGGTACCCTGTTAAGCATATGCTCTATTTAGTAATTAATATACACTGTATAATGCCCAGTGTTTGTACTATCAAAAATTAGAAACCACAGTTGCAGAGGCACCTTGATAGAGGTGTGTGACTTTCAGGTACGATTCTAAAAATATGCAAATGAGACCACCATTTTGCCATAATATAGGTAGTGAAATCTAGGGTGGCTACAGATGGGCAGATATTTCACCTAGAATGACGTGCAGGGAGATAACTGCCAAAATAGAGTGGGTAAATTGACCTATTGTGACCTTGCATGTACTGTACTTTGTCCTGTTGTTCTTCTATGTAGGAGCACGGGTTTGGGCTAGTTCATAAAAAGATGTTCTAGCAAGATGGAAAATCTCCCAGTGTGATGACAAGGCCTGCAAGCACTTGTATGTCTCCTTTAATGGCCTGATTATGGCAAAAATAATTTATAATCTGTAGTACTGTTTGCTGTACATAGACTCTTAAGCTCCTCATGAGCCCCACTTGTTCTGGCTGTGCTCAGCAAAAACTGCTGCTTATACAGACCTGTGCGTTTCTAGGTCAATACAGTGGAAACAGTTGCTGGGTGGATCCTGGATGCCTGTCAAGTGGTCATTTCTTCCTTTCTTGTAGAACATACTTCTACATGTGTCTGCACTGTTCAGGAACAATGAGCTACTATTAGTAGGCTGATCCTCTGGGGTAGTACAGCTAACCTGAGTGCATTGCTTCTGCCAATAGCTGTGACTCCACTTCCTGCTTGACCTCTTTCTTTCTTTCTTTTTTTCTTTCTTTCTTTTCCTCCTCCAAAAGTCAAGAACTGGCAATTTTGCAGACTAAAATGTTTTTTGTTTTCAAAAAACATAAAAAATGTTGGCTAGGAGAGACACACTCCGACAGTTCCTGTGAAATAGAGGAACTGTACTGCTCATTGCCTCTGCGATCTCTTACTACTACTCCTCTATTCTGTACCCTCTCCCCCTCTGCATAAATAGAC